GGGAAAGAAAAAATGATAGTGTATATTTCTTCTCAATCTAATACGTCGCGGGCTTGTTCACGTTCCGATTCCCGGGTATTTTTGGAAGCGGGGCGTGACAGGTTTTTTTGGTGGCCCATGCAGGTCACGGTCCCGAGTCCTCACTAGTAAGAATATAGTGCTCGCGTCCCGATTCCCTGGTATTTTGGGAAGCGGGGCGTGACAGGTTTTTTTTTGGTGGCCCATGCAGGTCACGGTCCCGAGTCCTCACTAGTAAGAATATAGTAGATAATTTAGATACATATCATATTTCATCCGTATGACTACAATTAAGTTCTTATACTATTATCTTAATAACTATGTTTTATTTCCTATTTTCCCAATATATTGTTTTGATTTTAACCTTAGTTATCCTCTTGATCCTCGTTTTCCCTTAGAACCATGGTGGGTACTCGTCGTAATGGTAACCCATCTAGTAGCAGTAGTCAGATGCCTGAAGTGGAACCGCACCATCTTTTGGAGATGATTCATGGATTAGTGGTGAATCAGCAATTCTTGGCCGGACACTTGCAGCGGGAGCCTCAGCACCAGCCTCCCCCTCGTCCAGAGTCTAGTGTTAGGGAGTTCCGGTATATGCGGCCTCCTTCTTTCTCTGGTGCCGAAGGACCTTTAGCAGCAGAGGAGTTTCTCAAGGTCACAGAGACTATCCTTACGGTGACTCGTATTCCCCATGCAGAGTGGGTAGATCTCATGGATATTCAGCTCACCGACACTGCTCGGATTTGGTGGACTGCAGAGAAGGCTCATTTGGAGAGACCGATTTCGTGGGATACCTTCACAGACCGTTTCAACAGGAAGTACTTTCCTCAGTCGGCTCAGGACGAGCTTTTGGAAGATTTGTTGAGCTCAAGCAAGGACGTCGATCGGTTGATGAGTACGAGGCCGAGTTTTCTTCTTTGAGCCGATATGCTCCCCATTTGGTTACAGACCCTACCATAAGGAGGCATCAGTTTCAAAAGGGCCTGGATAAGTATATCAGGTTTGCTTTGGCTGGTAGAGCACTTGCGACTCACGATGCCGTGTTGGATGCAGCATGCGAGATCAAGAGCATTCAGAAGGAACCTGAAGACCCACATGTGATCCAGAGCAGGACACCAGCAGCTCCAGCCCGAGATGACGAGCGTCCACCTTCTAGGCAGCAGCAAAATCCGCAGCGACAGTATTTTTCTCAGCGCCAGCCACTTCCTCCTGTGCATCCCTATCAGTACCCTGGAGTGCAGACTCTCGGCCAGCCTTCGGAGAAGTGTTCCTATTGTAGTTTCCGTGGGCATACCCATCAGAAGTGCCCCAAACGTCCTCGTTTGTGCTTCAACTGTAGATCCCCTGACCATGTCAACCGGGAATGTCTGCAGCGACAGTAAGCCAGCTTGCCTCCACCTCTAGTTCGAGCAGCTCTTCTAGCTCCACCTCGATCAGACTCAGCAGCCCCAGCTCAGCACGGACCCTACCCTCGAGCAGGCCCTCTTCCTCCACAGCAACAGATTTATCAGGAAGCACGAAGGCAGCAACCACCGCGTCAGACATTCATGATGACGGCCGTAGAAGCTAAGGAGAACAACCAAGTTATCACTGGTAAGATAGTTCATTCTTAGTTCTATTTGTATATGAACTTCCTTATTTCGCATTGCCTGATGATATTATGATAGGATTTGTTTATGAGTGCTAGCCTAGATGCATTTTCATCCTCCTATAATAGGCAAGGTTCTTGTTTACTGCGTTCTTGCTTTATCACCCTTTGACTCTGGGGTTTCCTACTGTTTCTTGTTCTCGTCTCCCCTGTTTATGGATATCATTCCATATATCTGTCCTTGGATTCTTTCTGCATTACTTTTATTTTAATTCCGAGGATGGAATTTGTTTTAAAGGGGGTAGGATGTAATGACCGTAAAATTTTGATATTAATTAAAATAATTTTTAGTATTTTAAAATATTTAATTATTATTTCAAAAGAGTATTTGTATTTTTATCGATTTTCTAGAAATTTTCTATGATTTAAAGTCTAAGTTTTATATTTATTTAAATGGTTTTGATATTTATAAATTAATTTAGTGCAGTGAAGTTTTTTAGAATTTATTTGTTGTGTTACCGATACTATTACGTATCATTTTAAATGATATGCTGTATTATTATTATTATTATGTATTATTTTGTATAATACGTTGTATTATTAATTACGCATTATTTGTATAATTTATTAAATTATTTCTACTGTTACATATTATCTGTCGTATTAGTACAACTGGTAAGTTTTACTGTGTATATAATTATCCCATAATTATATGGTTTTAAATTTAGCTAAAAATACTTTTATTATTAATTATTCTTGTTTAATTATACAATATGGGTATATTTCAACTATTTCGTATCAACTGTTGTATTAGCATAACATGTACGTTTTTACTTGTAGATAATTATCCCGTATTTATTTTGATTTTTAAATATCATTAGTTATTTCTTTTTAATTATTTTTTGTTTTAACTTATTAACCCTAAACCCTAATTATATATATATATATATGTATATATATATATTGATATATTATATAGTATATATATATATATATATATATATCTTCATATATATATGTATATATTATATATATATATAATATACTATATATAGTATATACATATACTTATATATATAGATATCTTGTCTGTGGTGTGTGTGTGGTGTGTGTGTTGTGTGTGTGTGTGTGTGTGTGTGTGTGTGTTGTGTGTTATATCATCTTTCTCCTTTCTCCTCTCTCTCGTATGTAGTGCCGCCGCCACCCTCTTCTCTCAACCCGTCGGACCGACCTCGACCTCCGCCAGCCTCCACCCCCTGGCCGACACGAACCCTCACCACCGCCTGAAACCACCGCCCTCAGCCGACCTCATGCACCTCGCCCCACCACCCGCTCTCCTCCTACTCGGTTCATCTCTCTACCCGAATACCACCCCCTACCAGCTCGCGCTCAACCTCGCATCAGGCCTCCCTCTCTCTCTCGTCGCTCCCTCCAGCTCTGACGAGGCTGCCGCATCCGACGCCAACCTTGGCACCGCCCCCTGAAACCCCACGCACCTAGCCCTGTCGACTGCCGCCTCCAGCCCTCTCCCTTCTCCTGTTCATCGCTGCGACCACACCACCTCCGCACTAAGATTCCGCCGCCCCCGTCTCGTTCGCTCACCCTCCGATGAACGCTACCACCCACAGCCTGCTCCCCTCCGCGCTCAGCGCTGTCCGCTTGTCGCCATCGGTTTGCCACACGCCGAGCTTAACTCGATCAGCCTACAGCCCGCCGCTCCACTCCCTCTCGACGCCACCCCCTCGTCGCTGCCCTGCCCATCCCCTTCATCGTCGACGAGCGTCACCGAGATCCCGCAGCCCCTCGTCGGAGTTCCCCGACGTCGCGCACCACCGTGTCAGATCCGACCTGCGCCATTAGCGTTGATTCGTTCGACGAATCCCCGAGGCAAGATCCCTCTTGCTCAGATCTGAATTCTATACTTGTCATAAATTATTTGCATAGTATATTTGTGACGTATTTATCTGCGTGGATTGTTTGCTGAAGAATATTGATCTAAATAATTGATATGTGATAAATAGTGTTTTGGAATAATTATAATAAGTTAAAAGAATTTAATTTGATAATGGATTTATTTAGAGAATTTATAATATTTAAAAAGAATTTATTTTTGAGAAAAGGAATTATTTTAGAATAAAAATTGATGAGAAATAATTTTAAAGAAATTATTCTTGAAAAGAGAATATTTCGGATTATTATAATGAGAAATAATTTTAAAAGAAATTATTTTGGAAAACGAATTATTTTCTGAATTATATAGTTGCTGTTCTTGATTACATTTCATGTTTGTGAATAATTTTACTGTATTCGACATGTCATGATGTGGTTGCGTGAAATTAATGTTGTTAATATCGCCTTGTTGTGTTTGAGAACCTTAGTAGTTCATGACTTAGTGGCATTGTGCGTCATGAACAAACCTAGTGACATGTGTGGGTGTGTTGACTGAGTTTAGGTGGTGAACCATAGTTATAGTGTGGATTATGATTGTCGACTTAGAAAAGCGAGAAGAGTTGAGATAGAGAATCCTTAGTTCATGTGATCGGATGAGATTGTTGATGTATTTTCCAGGATCGTGCCAGCGCCTTGTGTCAGCCTGGGGTGGGTCTGAGGTATCGTGATATGTGATTGTTGATTATTTTCTAGGCTCGCGCCAGCAGCCTTTGTGGTCAGCCCCTGGGGTGGGTCTGAGGTGCGGTGATATCGAGATTATTGATTATTTTCCAGGCTCGCGCCAGTGCCATGTGTCGGCCTAGGGTGGGTCTGAGGAGCAGTGATATTGCGATTGTTGATTATTTGAGATGAGTGATGGGATGGTTAGTTACATGACCTCGATTCTTGGCTAAGTATGATTCTTGTGAGATGTAGGACGGTTGCACTTCTTTTAATACATAGATCGAGATTAATATTTAATTATCTATAATTTGAGACATATGGTATATACATGAGGAATTCCTTGTTTGGATTATTTCGCTCGACGTACTACGTCTCTTATTGTAGATTTTTAAGTATTAATTCCATCTATTGTATGACCTTGTTGCTTGGACGATTTCTGATCGCTACCTACATGATCTTGTTACTTGGTTGATTTTTTGATTCATCTGATTATTACTATTCTAGTTGCACGCCTCTATCGTTATTACTATCATCACATGTTCTATTTTTATTTCTATTATCGCATTGACCACGCATATATTATCATTATCGTTATTGTATTTGTTCCTACCTTAGGGGATTTTGCCGTGTGTATACACGCTGATGTACTCCTATTTTCTGGGTGTACGTCAGATTTAGGAGACGGACGGCCTCAGCTCGGAATCGTACAGGAACCAGAGGATTCGTAGTAGAAGTGCCTTGCAGATGGAGTAGAAGACAAGCTGAAGCGTAGTAGTTTTCTTCTGTAGTAGCTGATGAACACTAGAACTCTTTTACAATATTTTTTTAGTTGATGATAGATTTAGTTATTTTATTCCCTTTTATTATGGACTATGTTTTTTCTATTTCCTAGTTGGACTACTTTGTAATAAGGGTATGTTCGATCCATAGTTTATGTCTGGGATGATTACCATGGATGATATGTTATTTTTTATTCTGGATTGTCTTTATATTCTTGCTATTGAGATCGGGGACCGTTGATTGAGATTTATGTATTTGACGCTTAGCGTATTAGATTGAGAAGAAAAAAGAAAGAAAAAATGATAGTGTATATTTCTTCTTAATTTAATACGTCGCGGGCTTGTTCACATTCCGATTCCCGGGTATTTTGGGAAGCGGGGCGTGACAGGTTTTTATGGTGGCACATGCAGGTCACGGTCCCGAGTCCTCACTAGTAAGAATATAGTAGATAATGAACTTCACCAACACAACTAAAAACAAATTAAACATTGACGACTAGTGAATGTCGCTAATTAATAAACTTTGCCCAGCAGCCCAAAATTGAGTGACCTTAGCTCATACCCAGAATCAGTCAAACTTTGCTGATTTCTCAACATTGCCTCAATAACAGAAAAGGCAATTTTCATTCCAAGCACTTAGATGAGGACAAGCATCATTAATCCTTTGATACAAGTTTGCAACAAAGGAAGCTACGTTCGACATTACACCTCTGGCGACCAAGTGGACGGATGAAGATAAGTTTTCACCTAATCAAGATAACTCAAGCCACATTCAATACTACACCTCTAGCTACTAACCTAAAATATTTCAATCCTAGCTATAAATTGAAATGCAGGATCTTGAAAAACATTAGGGTTCTTGTAGAGGTTAAAGTGTATTTTCACTTAGGACAATGATCAGCTTGGATTCAAGAAGTGAACGCTCGAAGTCTAAACACTTCGAATGGGCCAAAGTTAAACCTACAATAAGCTGCAGCAAAGGTCCTCTGATGACTAAAATGAACCTCACAAAGTATCCTACGTCGACTTGACCTGACCAAGTCAAAACACGAGTCGACTCCCACGACACGCCCCAAGCCAAATCAAAAGTTGTCATTGGTCGCCAAGCCTAGAGTCAAATTCTGTGTCAAATTTGAATTCATAGATAAAACTCGCTAACTAATGAACTTCGCCCTTGTTAAGTGGACCAAGTCATCCACTTTCGAAGAGCCCACATCCGAAGTGACCTTCACCCACTTCTCCAGCAAACCTCGCTAAGTCCGCAAAGTTCACCCAAATAGCCATTTTAGAGCTATTTTTAGGGGATAATTGCTTCCCACTAACTTCTACTTTAATGACCACTTAACCCACGATTAAAGGAGCTATTAACTCTCTCTTTTAGCCTATAAAAAGAGATGAGATC